AGGCCGACGCTCTATCCACTGAGCCAAACCGGTTAGGGCACGTCTTCTTTTTTGAAATATATTTTTATTGATTTGAGAGAGGAAGGGAGAAGGAGAGAAAGATAGAAACATCAAGGATGAGAGAGAATCATCGATTGGCTGCCTTCTGCACAATCCACGCCCCGCACCCCACACTGGGGATCGAGCCCCCAACCCTGGTATGTACCCTGACCAGGAATTGAACCATGATCTCCTGATTTATAGGTTGATGCTCAACCGAGAGCCATGCCGCTGGGCTGGAACATCTTCTTTTTAATCTTATAATTTTCCTGTTTTCGTTCCTAATAATAATTACTTGTGCCTTCTTTTGTTTATAAATAGATATGCCCATTCTATTCGTTTTCTCAAGAACTGATTTTTGGCTTTATCCATCCTGTCTACTTTGTTTTCTAGTTTATTGATTTCTGCTCATTATTCTCTTTGAGTTTACTTTGTTTTTTCCTTTTCTAATTTCTTGACTACTTACTTAAATTGGATGTGTATTTCAGACTATTTTCTAGTACAAGCATCGAGGCTATAACTTTCCCTCTAAGTACCATGTTTGATGCATTCCATAAAGTGTAATATATGTTTTTTCATTACTGTTTAATTCTAAATCTTTTTAAATGTGTTCTTACTCTTTTTTTCCTTTGATCCATGGGTTATTTAGGGCATGTTTTTACATTACCAAATATATGGAATTTTAAAACTAACCTTTTAAAAAAATTGTATTCTCTGATTTATAGGTACCCATCAAGCTTTTAAACTGTGTTTCAGCTCTTCTATTCATTTACTGGGGTTTTTTTGGTCTGCTTTGTTATTCGTAGTTGAAAGAAGTGTATTAAAACCTCTTGCTTTGATGGTGGTGTTATCTCTTTGTAGTTCTTTGAAGCTAGATACTTACAAGTTTAGAACTATCCTAACTTCCTGGTGAACTGACCTTTTCATTTAGGCACTTACCCTGTTCCTAATAAAAGTCCCCTATGTCCGATATCAGCGCAGCTTTCCTGGCTTTCTCCTGGTTACTGTTTGCCGGGGCTGTCTTTTTCCACCCTCTGACTTTCAACCATTCCATACTCCTGTGTCAAGATCCGGGTCACGCCCATTTGCTAGTCACATGGAAAACTGTGGTTTCCAAGGGAACCAGCCTGAATCACATTAAAAATCTGAGGATTTGTAAAGATCATGGGACCCTGGTTGTCCCCAGCTATAGCCTGGGGGGCAGCAGAGACATCACCAGAAGGAGAAAGATAGGCTAAGTGGGCCCACCAGAAAGGTCCTCTGGGTTGTTTATCAAGACTGTCTCATTCATTTGCTAATCCACCCATCCATCCATCTACTGACTGAGCAGTTATTAAGACCTACTGTGTGCCAGGCAGTGTCACTTCCTGGTGGCTGTAGCTTCTGCCCTCATGGATGGAAAGGCCAGTGGGGAGGGAGGGGAGACTGACATGTCAGCTCTCAGAATGCAGTACACATGTCCAACAAAGCCATGGGCACAGGCCTGGTTTGCCCCAACGGTGACTCAGTTTCCCCATCTGTAAGATGGGGGCAGTAACAGTACCTACCTCGTAGAGTTGGGGGATTAATCAGTTAATGTTTGTGGAGTGCTTGTGACCGGCAGTCAGTAAATGTTCACTTTATTGTATTACTGTTGTGATTATTTTTGTAGTTATTGTTACTATTATTATTCGGACCCAGTGGAGACCACAGAGCCCCCACCACAGCAGGGCCCATTGTCTGATCCCTTGGGGTGCCCCTCAGCCTCTAGCTTGGATTGGGGGAGTGTTTCCTGCAGCCGCACCGTGGGCTGGAGTTCAGTTCCACTCTCTTCTCCATCTTCTCTCTGTATCATTCCGAGGCCCAGCGAGCGGCCTGCCTTGGGCTTCCCCGGGTTCCTGCTGACAAGGGCTGCCCTCGACACCACATACGATAGTAACAGCAGCCAAAGAGAAGGGCATGGCCTCTCCCCGCCCTCCCAACCCAGGAACGAGGTTTGGCCCGAGCCCTGAAAATGCTGGGGCATCCCTTTGGCAAGGCCCCATCTTTGGGGGAGGAGGGGCTGAGAAAGCAAGGAAGCCTGCTGCTGTCCTGTCTCTCCCAGGCCAGCTGGCCCCCGGGCCTCCTGGCCACAGCTGGAGCAAGAAGGCTGGATGTGTCAGGACAAAAGCCTCCTGGCAAGACCCTCCCCACCATCGGACTCCCCCTCACCTGCTCACTGCGTCTGAGGATCCCGCAACAGGTGACAAAGCCTCCAGGAAACACACTGCAGCTTGTCAGAGCCTAACCCCGACCTCCGCTCCCCACCTGGATGGGGAGGGGAGACCCCACAAGCCAGGTCTGGAAATGGAGGCTGAGGATTTGGGCTACAGTCGGACTGATACCATAACCTCTGTTTGTGCCTGGGCTGCTGGGGGCTGGGACATTTCCTGAGGCTCTGGGCCTCAGGCTGTCCCTGTATCAGCTGGGTAGGGACAGGTCCAGGTTGAAAGCTATGCAGGTATGAAGGTCTAAGTAGATTGTGCTGGGCTGTTAGCTGGAAGCCTCCAAGTCCCACCCACGTATCCCTAGGAAAGCCCAGCTCTTTATCGGCATTGCTAGGGTGACCCTGTTCTGGACAGGTCCTGACTTAGGGTATTTTCTTACCAGAGGGGATCCCAACAGTGTGTCCTGTGAGACTTGGGGCTTGTAGTCATCCCTGTCTTCTGTGCCCACACATCGCACCAGAATCCTGTGTGCACGCACATCACACACACACATGTACCTGCTTGCCCACGTGTAGGCACTCATCACCTCTAAACTGAGCATGCCCAAGAGTCAAGTTGTGGCTCCGCTTAGCAGCAGCTTCCGCCTTCTTCTGCCTGGACTCTTGCAGCCCAGGCGGAGGAAGCCGCCTTCCACGTGGCTTCCCAAGAACCGCTCAGATAATGAGAGGAAATGCAGTCACCAGCTTACAAAAGGCTGGCGGTTCCGCCGCGACTCCAGGCCACCACTCCCTGACCCCGCTCTCTATCTCTGCAGGCCCCCTCAGCTGCCAGCCCGTGGATGCCATCTGAGATGTCCCCTTTCTGTTGCTGGGGCCTGCCCGCAGCTCTTCTCGCTCTGCTCTTCTGCCCAGGTGAGCCAGTGCCTGGGGTTCCTGACTGCGCCTGTGCCAGCCCAGAGGGTGGGCTGCCTGCTCCCCCGGCTTTAGGGGCAGGGTGCTAACTCTGAAGTCTCGGAGGCTTTGACATAGTGGCCCCAGCCATGGGCACAGGATGCTATGGACACCTGGGCAGCAGGTGAGGGTCCTGGCCTTTGGGACACCAGGTTGAATAGCCCCACAGCTTCATGGTGTGGATGTGGCAGGTCATGGAGACTAAATGGTGGGCTGAGTAGGGGCCTCAGGAGGTGAAGGATGCTGGGGTTCAAGAGAAGGTGAAGGCATGCCCGGCCTAGCTGGTCTTCAGATGCGGCCTAGGGGACAGAAGAGGGCAGCAGAGGGCCTCGCCTTCTGGCTAGCCTCAGAGCGAAAGTGAAAGCCCTGCCAGTGGGTCAAGGGGACGGTGAGGGAAAATACCACCAGGTGCCACGCACCCCGTTTTGCACAACCTGCCAGATGCTTTTGAAGTGCTATCTCATTGAACCTTCACAACAGCTTTGGGAAAGGAATTACTAGCCCATTTCACAGATGAAGAAATGGAGGCTCAGAGAGAGCAAGCACCTTGCCGAGCTGGCACACGGTGAACTCAGGATTCAAACCCAGATCTATGTACCTGCAAAGCCAGTCTGTTGCCACTTCATTATGTCCTACCATCTGGGGGCTGCGTGGGGGCTTGTGGGCATGGTGCTAGCACAGGACCCAGGCTGGGCCCAGCTGGTTGGGATCGAGGACCTTCCTGGTCGTTGCTGAGAGAGAAGTGATGCTGAGGGCTCAGTCTCCATGCATCAAATGCTTCCTGAGTCTGTCACACACAGGACAGTGGGGGACAGGGTCCTGCCTTCTAGAAGCTCCAAAATGGCGAAGGGAGAGTCCGTAGGAGTGTGAATCACTGGGACAATCCCGGGCCATGGGCTGGGTGGTCCCATTTCCTTTCTGACCTCGCTTCCCCTGCATTTTTCCTCACTGAGCTAGAGCATCCTGACACCTCACTCTTCCGCAGGCAGACACAGCACACCCACTCCCGACCCAGGGCGTCTCCTAGAAATACTCCCCCTGATATCGGCAGGGCTCACCCCCACCTCCCTCATGTCTTTGTTCAGATGTTGTTATTTCAGTGAGGCCTGTGCTAAAGTGCCCCTCCCTCCCCACATACACATACACCCCTCTGTTTCCTTTCCCAGGCGCTTACCACCATCCAATGGGCTGGATGTTTGTTTATTGTTGTCTGTTTTCTTCACTAGAATGTGAGCTCTGTAAAGGCAGGATTTGGTCTGCTCTGTTCACTCCCGCAGAGCCCAGAACAGTACCGGGCACAAAGCGGGCGTTCAAAAAGTATTTGAGGAAGAAAGGAGAGGAGGGAGGGATGGGTTGAACCCTGGGCCACAGGAGCTCCGAAGACACAGTCCACCTCCATCTCAGAGAGGCCTTGGTGGAGGAGGGAGGGCACACTGGGGCTGGGCCTTGAAGGTGGAATGGGGTCCCCCTCCGTGGAGAGAGAAGTGCGTAAGGAAGACGAATCTGCCTGGAGGTGACAGGCTGGAGGAGGGGCACCCAGAGGCAGGGAGACAGCCCACGAGGCCTGAACAAGGGTCAAGGGTCTAGGAGCAGAGGGACCATCCCTGGCCTTTCTTCTTTGGCCCCGCCCCCTCGATCAGAGTGGGCAGCTCCACTGGGCCGGACAGCGGGGACATCTGCTGCCCAGAGTCTCTGGTCTTCCAGGGTCTGGCAAGGAGGCGTTCGAGGTATACGTGTCGCCAGAGCAGCTGGTGGTGAAGCACGGCGAGTACTCTGATATCAACTGCAGCACCAGCTGTCTGCAGCCCACTGTCGGCGGCTTGGAGACCACCCTAAGCAAGCTTCTGCTGGAGAAGCAGCCTCAGTGGGAGCTCTACAGGGTCTTCAACGTCTCCAAGGACACGGTCGTATATTGCCACTTCACCTGCTCTGGGAAGCAGCTGCAGAGGAATGCCAGCATCACCATGTTCTGTGAGTGCCTCTCGCACGGCCCTCCTCCCCCAGCGCCCAGCCTGCTCCTGGGTGCTCTGCTCCTCCCTGGGCTCCTGGGGTGACAAGGAGCAGGAGCGAGGCCCTGGGCTCAGAGTCTGCTCCCACCCTTCGCTGGCCTCCGTGGGCCTGTGGCAACCCCGCCTTTGAGGCTTGCTCAGAAGAGGGCGATCGCAGTGCTCACAGCCTCCTCCCAGCTCAGCAGCAGCCCCGTCCGGGGGACACCCCAGATCCCATGACAAGTGGTGGGGGCACCATCGGGAGGGCTGCACGCTCTCCAGGGGAGGTTGAGGAGTCCCCGGGTGCTTTTCTCTTCCCTTGAGGGCCCTCGGCAAATGTGGGACCATCACACACACACCTGCCCATGGCCACGGAGGCCTGGAGAGGCCGGGATTCTCCCAACATCTCGGCACTAAGGGTGCTGCTGGGATCCTCCCCATTAATGGGTCAAATAAATGATGCCCTAGATCCAACATACTATCCTGGTGTGATTGGGGTGAGATGTCTGGCTCAGAGGGAAATGCAGGCCGCACCCAGGGCTCCGTTGGATAAGGGATTGAGGGGGCTGTGAACCTGACCCTAGAGGATGAAGGCAGGTCTGACTTTGGCCCCCACCTGTTAAGTGAGAACTCACAGCTCATGCCCAGTTCCAGGGAGCACTCCCTTCTAAGTCTCTCTGAACATAAGTGCCCAACTGTTTAGTTTTTAAAATTCTGGAGAGGAAGGAGACAGATGCAAACATGTACATCTCTCTAGTTGGCTGCACAGTCTCTGACCCTCTCTTTGGAGACACCTAACCACCTCCATTCTTGTCCATGGCAGAACCCATCATGTTCGTAAAACTACCACCCGGCACACCCTTCACCCTAAACGGCCTCCTTCTTCCTCTCTTACACTCTGGAGCAGGCCAGGCCCCAGCCTCCACAAGTCCCGCCGGGGACCTGAGCACACGGTGCTGATAGGGGGTGCTCTTGGCTGGGTGGGCCCGCTGGGACCGTGCCCCCAACCTCCCCCACTTCCTCCCCTGCAGACCCCCCAGAGCCAGTGCTGCTGAAGCTGCAGCCCACTTGGGTGACTGTGGGCAAAGTCTTCACCATGGAGTGCAGGGTGCCGGCGGTGGCACCCCTTGAGAACCTCACCCTCACCTTGCTCCGTGGCCAGGAGCCCCTGCACATGCAGAGATTTGAGGGGGCAACAGCTGCCCCCCAAGAAGCCATGATCACACACAACAGCACGGCTCACAAGGAAGACGGTCGCCACAACTTCTCCTGCCGGGCTGAGCTGGACCTGCAGCCTCGTGGTGGGGGTTTGATCCAAAGAACTTCACAGCCCCAGGTGCTTGAGATCCATGGTGAGGAGGAGGCCCCCGCCTGTCCCGGAGAGGGGGGGAGGACAGGGCATTCACGTTAGGCCCTTAGGGAAGTCAGAACCTCAGCCCGCTCTCTAGGCAACAGGGGCCCCACACTGGGTCCTGAGAGGGGTCCCTCCTCCCTGAAGCTCTCTCCAAGCCCCAGCGTGGACCTGGACTAGTTGCTTGGCCATTAGTGAGCTGTGTGACCTTGACCAAGTCAACCTCCTCTCTCTGGCTCCTCTCTACAATGAGAAGTTTGACCTAACTGACCCCTCAGGTCTTCTAGAACTCCACTGTTCTTTGATTCTTTTTGTTATTGTTAATCCTCACCTGAGGATATTTTCCAATGATTTTAGAAAGAGTGGAAGAGAGGGAGGGAAGGGGACAGAGAGAGAGAAACATTGATGTGAGAGAGACACATTTATTGGTTGCCTCCGCACGCACACCCCGACCCGACCGGGAATCAAACCCACGACCCTTCCCTGCTCACCTACACCAGCCAGGGCGGTTCTGTGACTCTTGATGGCAGGTGTTCCCTGTCTTTAGAGTTTGGTAGAAACTCACTCGGCTCTGCCCAGGAAGGGGTTGGCGTGCCCTGTCCAGACCATGGTGCCCAGAGCCCACAGGCTGCCCTGACAGTCTCACCGAGGCCTGGCTGGTAGCCCAGACCCCAGCTCACCTTTCCCCTAGTTAGTACACCATCTGTCACTCGTCTCTGGGACCGGGTGACTGCCGGATGGATGAGGGTGGATCTCACTCCCCCTTGGGCCCTGGCACCTAGGACCAGAGCACTTCTTCTTTTTTTAAAAAAATCTTTATTGTTGAAAGTATTACATGTGTCTCCTTTTTCCCCCATTGACCTGCTTCAGCCCCCTCTCTCCGCCCCCCCACCCAGCCCTCCCCACCCCACTGTCTGCGTCCACGGGTTATGCGTATGTGCACGCAGGGCCCGGAGGCCTTCTCAGACCACTGCCCTCTCCCCTAGAGCCCATGCCGGACAACCAGATGGTCATCATCATCGCCGTCGTGTCGGTGCTGCTGCTGCTGTTTGTGGCGTCCGTCCTGCTGTGCTTTGTCTTCGGCCAGCAGTGGCACCAGAGGCGGAGAGGCAATTACGGGGTACAAGCCGCGTGGAGGAGGCTGAGACGCTCCTACCGGGCATAGCCTGCGTGGGGGCGTGGCCACGGCCCCGGCAGCCACTGGAACTCAGTGTGGCTCTCAGCGATGTGGCCCGGCCACGGCAGAAGGACAGTGACGAGCCGCAGAGGACTTGGGGGACAGTTCCTTTTCCAGTCTGAATACAAACGCCTGGACTTAACCCCGTGCATAGCGTCTCCTCCTGGGAGAGTGCTCAGCGGCCGGGAAGGTGACTCATCGGCCGACACTTCTCTCCCTAGAAGCCTCCTCAGTGTCCCTCCACCCTCTGCTTCACAGAGGCCTCCGGCCAGCCCAGCCCTGGGGCGCCCCCATGCTGACCAGCCTCAGCACCAGGTGCCCACCCTCATCGGGCCGAGTGACAAGTGCCTCCTCGGTGGGGTTGGGCGGTGTGCCCTGGCCTGGCCGGGCAGAGACACTCTGTTCCCACATGGCCCTCAGGAACTCGGGCCACTCCCTGTCGGAGCAGGACACGGCAACAGAGCCAGCTTCCTGTTGGTGGAGGTGGAGGGTGGGGGCCCCCAGGGATCTGGCGCAGCTCCAGGACCCTCCCAGTCAGGATTCTCCCACATCTTGGCCTTTACAGAGCTGTGGACAACAAAATCGATCTTCTCTCGCCTCCTGCTCCATTATTAGGCCAAGCGGAGACCCCGCAGCCCTGGCCTTCCCAGAGAGAGGGGTGAGGGACTGAGGTCTGGGGGGGCTCTGGTTCCCAGCCTCCCCCTCGCCCGGGAAGCAAACAGTGGGACAGAGTTGGGTGTTCATGTGGGTCGAGGGTCTTGAACAGTGAATAACCTAGTGAGCTTACTCCAGAGAAGAGATGGGCTGGCTCAGGTCTTAATGGGAAGGAGAGGAGACTGATTCACCCTGGAGGGGAGGGCCTGGTTGGGGTTGGGCAGAGAAGGGCTGTCAGGTGTGGCTGTGAGCACCAGAGGGGCCCTCGGGGGGCTGTATCCAGCCTCGCAGTGCAGCTGGGGTGGGTCCCTGGGCCAGCGTCTGTCTTCATAGTAAGCTCTCAGCATCATAGTAATCTGGGTGGGGGAGACAGCACCCTCATCTTGACTCCCTCCTGCCTCAGTGGACCCCAAGGAGGGAAAGGGAAGGGGACGGGCCAGTTGCCTGCAGCAGTGACAGCACCCCGCCCTCGGGGGAACACGACCCCCCTAGCCTCCTGACCCATCCCTAGGCCTGGAGCCTGCTGCCCACACCCCCTGCCCCTACCTGAAGCCGGGGGTACATCCGCACCCACAGTCCCTGTGGCACTGGGGGGTGGGGGTGGGGGCACGGCTCTCCTGAGATGGGGATGAGAAAAGAAATGCCCCCATCAGAAGTGACCTCTGCGGTTTGACCCACAGCGATCTCCACCCGCCCCAGCCCCAAGGCAGCTCCTCCAGCCCAGCCAGAGCAGGGCCTCGCCTCACTTACACCCCCCTTTTCCTGGCAGGAGGGCGCTGCTGGATCCTGGGTGCATCCTGCAAGGGGGGCTGGTGTGGCGGAGGGGGAAGGAAAGGCGCTGGCCAGGGAGGCTGGAGGCCCAGAGCGGGCGTCGGGCAGGGCAAGTAGTGGTGGTGGAACACCAGAGGCCCTTCCTCCTGGGCTTCCAGCTCCTCTTCCTCCTCACTCTCCTCCTTCGGACCCTCCATGTGGACCTGGGGGTTGCGGGGGGGGGGGGGGGCCACGGGGT